TGGCTCCAGAGGAGAAGATGGTGCACTGCTCAGTCTCCTGGAGAAGCTTGTTGTGTTGGCTTTCCTGATGGGAACTCAGCTTTCCTCATCATCAGAAGAGCTCAGGACCTCACTGTTACTGGGGATGGCTGTGGTACTTTTTGGGGGAGTTCTGGTTCTTACTTTGAGCATTGCTTCCTGGCTACAGTTCAGATCCCTCAGCCTGCTACCACAGATCCTTCATCCCGGTGGAACAGACTTTCTAGATTCCACCACTGACCCTTGGGCCTTTCAGCACAGATCTATGAAACAGGCCTGCATGAGACATCATCATGGGCTCTAGGCCTCCAGTTGGACTCATGCGAGGCATTGTTACAGGCTCTAGGTTTTCAGCTGGACTCATGCAGGACATTGCCATGGGATCCAGGCCCTCAGCTGGAGTCTTTGGTCTTTAGTGTGTGGACAAATTTCCTGCACTCTCTTGTATATGATTCTTTGGGTGGCTATTATGAACAATCTTATAAAATATGTGTCCTGTATTATATTGTTCCCCTTGCAAAACCCCTCAAACCATGACACAGGGTAAGACGATGCTGTGACTGACCTACTGAATTCCATTCAAGCTAGAAAATTCTATTGAAAAACAGGAAAATTCCAAAACCAGGGAGTGCATTTGGCCTAAAATAGACAACTTTAGCAACAAAGGGGCTTTCAGGGGTTATCTGGCCTAAGGACTCCCAAGCAATAATCTATGTATCCATGACTGCCTGTGACATTTTCATCAGCCTGCTGATGCATGAGAAAAATTGTTGCCAATTTACTTACTTCTCTTGAGAAATACTTTCCTTGGTAAATGACTGTATTCTTGTACAATTTCTATACTTTTTTGTTAAAATATAATTTTATTGATGGTATAATAGTAATAGTACATGGCCTTACATGACAACATTTGAAGTTGGCATCTTCATGTTAGATCCCTAAAATATTGGGAGAAATTTTTAGAGAAATTTTACCAGTCTTTGAAATCCAAATTTTGGGGAAGCATTGTTTTTGTCTAGTTTTTTTCCAGACCTGGCTATACATCAATATTACTAGGGATCTTGCTCAACTGTGTATTCCTGGGTCCCACCTCCAGATATTCTGATTCAAGTGTGGAGTGGGACTCAAGAGCTGGTACTCAAATTGGGTATGGTGGCACATGACTGTAATCCTAGCATTCTTGGAGGCTGAGGCAGGAAGGTCTAAAGTTCAGGCCCACCGTGGGCAATTTCACAACTTAGTAAGATCCTGTCTCAAAATAAAAAAAAAAAAAAAAAATAAAAAAGGCTGGGGAATGCAACTCAGTGTGAAGGCCCTGGGTTCAGTCTCCAGTATTGCAAAGTAAGAGTCATCACTTTTACACAACTCTCTAAGTGATTCTAATATGCAAGTAGATTAGGGAACCACTGCTCTGTTTCACCCTCTCATTTGAATACTGTGGGTTCCTTTCAGTTAGGGACAGGGTGAAAGCAAATTCTCCCACTTGCAGTATACATTGGAGATCTCCCCTGGGGTTTTTTAAGGTCCACAGATAAACAAGTGAAATAAAGGGCTACAGGAGCCATCTGTCACTTACTTGCTGAGAACATGATGGTGAGTCTACACATAAGAGGTGTTCTTTAAAGATCTTTTGCTGCTGCTGCTGTTTGTTTACCAACTCTAATTTAGATATTTGTAGGGAAATTTCGGTGCATTTTATGCCTGCTGCCTTACCTCTAATCTTTCCAAGCCATGCTCCTCACTATCACCCCAGATTTCTCTCTAAGATGAGCTCTAAAGTTACCCTCCTTTTCAAAAGTCTTCAGTGGCAATCTTGTTGTGTTAGTTTTCTGTCATTGTGACACAATATCTGAATCAACTTATAAGGAGAAAAGTTTTATTTTGGCTCAAAATGTCAGTCTGTGGTTGCTTGGTCCTATTGCCTTTAGGCCTGTGGTCACACAGTACGTCATGACAGGAGAGAGTGGGAGAGGGAGGAAGAGGTCAGGGTTTCAATATCTCTATTCACAGGCATCTGCCCAGTAACCTAACTACCTCCAGTAGGCCCCATGTCTCAGAGATTCCACCACTTCCCAATAACCCCATAGGCTGAGTACCAAGTTTTTAACACATGGGCTTTTGAGAACACTAAATCAAACCATAGCACTTGTATGTACAGAATAAAGCCTTACCTCTCAACATGACATTTAGTAATCCGACAAAGTAAGCACTAACTTTATTTTGAAGATAAAGGAACTGTGATTCAGAAAGAAAAAACAAATTGCTTAAGATCACACACATAGGCACACAATGGTAGAACCACAATTAGAACCTAAGTCTCCTGTTGCCAGTGCTCTAGCCACAATACAGCACCTGTACTTTCTAAAAAGGGTAGAAATGATAGGTACTGCGTGTTTTGCTAGAATGATGGGATGGTGGTTACATAATCTTGTTTCCTGGGTGGGGCACATACTTTGAAACTCAGACAAATGAGCAAAGATACCTGTTCTACTTCTTACTGACCTTGTAAAATTGACTTAGCCTCCTGGAACCTCTGTTCCTTCATTTATAAAATAAGGACAAATAATCTCAACCCAATATTATTATGAAAATTATATGTGATTATATATGTAGAGAACCTACTATAGTGCTAGGCTCGCAGGAGCATCTCTGTGGGTGTCATCAGTGACTGTTATATCCATTTGAGTGACCTCCAAACCCATTTAAACAGTGAGGGAAGTACAATCCACAGTAAGGATTCAGATGGGGTTCAGAACTCCATGGTTTGTTCCTATTTCTAGCATTGGAAATAAGACTCTTCAGGGTCTTAATTAGCTTCCCTACAAGTGGGTACTAGGGTTAGTACTCCTCTGGGGCAACAGTCGGCCACAGGTGTGGTGAGATCCCTGACTAAAAAGCGAACCTTAAACTCCAGTGCCCATTATGTCCATGACTTTTTGTCATTCCTCATGGTTGAAGCATTGTGGATATTTATTAAAATGCAAATGTTTCCTCAGAGAGGCAACATACATATTAACTTTTTGGCCTGATTAGCTTTCTCTTCCCTCTTTCTATGAGTGGAGTGCTATGTCTCTGTGCCTCGAGCTCAGAGCATTCTCCCAAGCAGGGGACTCCCCCTATCCAGCCTGTTAGAATCCTAGCCAGTGTTCCAGGCCCAGCTTGGATATCACCTCCTCCAGAAGCCTGCTACTGGCTATCTCAGCCAGATCCTGCCTTCTCTTCTCTGTCTCCTTCCTCCAGCACTAAGTTCTGGACTCCTGTGGTGAAGACAGGGAGGAGCATGAAGCCTTTGCTGTACGGAGTCCTACCTTGAATTCTAGTTTGTCTTTGAAATCAAAACCCATGATCTTTTGCTGATAAATGCCTTGACCTCAGTTTTGCTTGAATTTTTGTGCCTGCAAAAAAACTGATGATACTACTTAGCTGGGGACAGTAAGGAACGTGCTTTATGCGTTTGCACAATGCCTGCTCTGCTGACTGGCACCATTCAGTGATTTGCGAATTTGGCTGAATTAAACCCTTCAGGATGTCTCCACTATATCCTTCCACCCAGCTTCTTCTGCCCTCAGGTGTTTAAATGACTGTTCCTTGGCTTTGGAAGAGGGCAGGCAACCCTGAGAGGCATTTCCACTGGGCCTGCAGTCTTTCACCTAGCAGGAGTATTGGCGCCTTCCTGACGTGGGGAGAGGAAGAGAGGAGCTGAGTAGCTTGGTAACAACACTGTGGCCTCATGTTTAGTGCATTAAACGTGCAGCTCCTTAACGGAAGCAGAGCTTTCCGTAGCTGCTGGGCTGGTGAGGGCTGATGCTGGGTACTGGGATGCGGGGAGCAGGACAGAGCCCCCTGTCCTCCTCTTCTTGCGACACGCTTTCTGGGGGACAAACTCTCCCTTACCCTAGAACGAGGGCCTGAGTCTGCGACATTTATGTGGTGTGGCTCTCACATCTCTGTACTTGACAAGGTGGGTGAAAGGGGACAGTGTGGGTGCTGAGAGGACATCCTTCCACTTGAGGTTCCCTGAAGTTCCCAGCACCCGTGGGACCAGCTTAGCCAGGACGTCGGGGGCGGGGCAGCCCTTGCCCAACCTGGCAGCTCGACCGGGACCCCTACTTTCTTCTCCCCAGCCCGGGACGGAGCCAAGAGAAGGCAGAACTGAGCTCCAGCTCCTGCCCCGGCCTGAGCCCTGGCCCCTAGGGTGCCACTGAAACTCCCTCCCTTCCAGACCGGCCCCTCGCCCAGACTCTGCCCTGGCCCGGCCCAGACCCGGCCCTCTGCGGCTCCTCTGGGCTTCAGGTTGGCGCAAACAAAGCCCTGATTGACTGCCCGGAGGGGCGGGCCTCCCTGAGAAGTCGCCTCCTTCCCTCCCCGCCCGGCCAGGATTTGCCGGGAAGGGCGGGGGTAGGGGGAGACTGGAGGGTGCGCAGGTCAGTGAGAGGCCGAGCCAGGGGCTCCAGGGGATTGTGCCCACCCTCTGTCCGAAGCCCTGGCTGTCCCTTCCAGGTCGCCCCCTTCAAGCCTAAGTGGGGACGTAGGGATTCCTGAAGGCAGGGTGGGGTCCTTCATTGGGTAGCTCTGCTCTTGAGGTCCCCAGGGCCACCTCGGCTGCAAGCTGCTTGTGAGGGCGAAGGGAATGGGAGCGAAGAACAAGCAGGGTATACCTTGGAGACTCAGAGTTGATCAATGCCGGTTCTAGAGCCTGTGCGGAGGAGAGGGCAGGACAACGGGGTAGTTTGTGCTTCTTTTTCCTATTTTAATTCTTCCTGTACTGGGCATCTGGACAAGAACAGGATTCAGTAGTTGGGAAGAGTTTAGGGGAGGCGGCGGCGGCTACAGTAGATAGACGAGTAAGAGGAGGAGGAAGGGCCAGGGAGAAGAGCCGAGGCTGTAGCGGCTGCCTGTGGAGGGAGGAAGAGGTGGGGGGAGGAGGAGGGGGAGGAGAGAGATGACATGGGGAGAGGAGGAGGGGGGTTGGATAGGGGTGGTGGAGGAGGAGAAGGCTCGTGGGACGTCTGTCGCGGGACGGGCTGGCCAGCTGGGGCGCAGAGCCTAGAGGAGAAGGCAGCGGCAGCGGCAGCGGCAGCGGCAGCGGCGGCAACGTTCGGAGCAGTAGCAGCAGCAGCAGAAACAAGTACCAGCCAAACAGCGGCTCCTCCGGCCCGAGCAACCACAGTCCCCCGGCCGCGATGGCGCTGCAAAGCCCAGCGAGCGAGGAAGCCAAGGGGCCCTGGCAGGAGGCAGACCACGAGCAAGAGGAGCGGGAGGGTAGTCCAGAGCCAGGGCCTGAGCCAGAGCCTCAGCCCGAACCAGTGCCTGTGCCAGTGACCCCACCGGAGCCCCAGCCCTTGCCGGACCCCGCACCTCTGCCGGAGCTAGAATTTGAGCCCGAGTCGGTGCATGAACCCGACCCCACGCCCACAGTAGAGACCCGCGGCACGGTGCGTGGCTTCGAGCCTCCTGAAGGTGGCTTTGGCTGGATGGTCGTGTTCGCTGCCACCTGGTGCAACGGCTCCATCTTCGGCATCCATAACTCGGTCGGGATCCTCTACTCCATGCTGCTAGAGGAGGAAAAAGAGAAAAATCGTCAAGTGGAGTTCCAAGCAGGTGAGTGGCCCCAAGCACCCCACTCTGCATTCTGGGCAGGGGTGCCTGCTTTTGCTGCCTCCCCCATACCTTCTGGTCCTAAGTGCCTCTCCAGAGCGCCCCTGCTACTTTTTCCCTCGCTCTCTGCCCATGGCCCTGCTAGGGCGCAGGTTCCTGGGCTCTGGGCAGCCTCTGCTGCAGAGACTAGGGGCAAGATGTCCCGGGTGTGGGAACCGGGGCATCTATTGATCACAGGCAAGCAATGAACTTTTTCGCTCTGGGACAAACCCAGACTCACCTTTTGGATTTGTTTGAAGTACTTTGCTTGTGTGTGTACGGAGAAAAATATTTGCACGACTGGGGGGGTGTCAATGACTAGGGAGAGTTGGGAGGTGGGCGGGCTCTGAGAGAAACACTGTACTGCAGATCTTCGCGGCAGCCCCAGTTCCTTTGGTGGAGCGGAGGTGTTTTCTGTCAAAAACACCTTAGAAATATTGGGGACTCCTCGCTTACAGGGAAATACAAGGCAGGCGTGTATGTCTGCAGGAGAGAAAGGGAGAGAGAGTGTGAGTGGAGGTGTGAGCGTGTCTCTTTCACTGCAGTGGTTACGGCCCAGGCAGGCCTGCTTATCCTCTGTCGCCTTGGGGGAACGAGCAGATCTTGGTGCCCTCTGAGCAGAGCCCCAAAGCCGGCTGGGAGGCGGTCTCCGCGGTCTCCTGCCAAAGGGGAGGAGGCGGCAGGCAAGCTGGGCTCTGCGGCTCACTCCACACCACTCCCAATCTCACCGGTGGCCTCCCAGGCACCCGGTGCCTCTACGATATTCACTGAAGTCGGAATGCCTGCCCTGCCACTCCCACCTTAGATGGTGCTGACTTTATCTGCTTCCCTAAGACTAGCAAGGTGCGGGGCATAGCCTTCTCTCTCCAGGTCAGTGGCCACAACACCCTGAGCATGCAGGCTTCTCTCATTCAGAGGGCCTGAGAGCTCGGAAAAGTGGGAAGAGCCATCTCGCTTTGTAAGAGAAGCCCCTTAGCAATTCTGGTGAGAGGTTTTAGGACTGAGTTGAGGGCTTGGGATACCCTCTGTCCCACTCCCGCTAGCGGCTTCTAAGGATGGCTGTAAGCACTCCACTGTTCCATGTTCGAAGCTTGAAAACTTGGCTTTTCTCTGTGTTGCCTTTGAGCCCAGAGGTTCTCTCCTCTTGCCAACCTTCAACACATACTCCTGCCATCTGAGGGGGCTTGGACAGTAAGTGAACATAGAATCTTTGAACTGTGGGGCACGCAGCTGGAGATTCCTTTTGGAGAGCCTCTTGCACCATCCTCAACCATGGACATGTGTTTTTAGTTTGCAACTTCCCTGTATTATCCTGCCAAAAGGGGATTTGAGGCTCTTGGGGCCTGGAGCCTTAGCCCTCCCACAGTGTGCAGGTCCCACTTGAAGAAAGTTCCAGTGTGTAGTGGCTGTCAAGGGCAGCCTCACAACTACCCAGGCCTCCTGAGAAGTGGAGAGCTCTCCGGACTGTGTGAAACAGCTTCTGAGGTGAAGGCTGCTGCCATACTAATGCCTGGGACTACCTTTTCCCTGCTTTGATACAGTTCAGGGGCTCTGGGGAAGGCAGCCAGGGTAGGGCCTCAGACTGTTGTCTGGGTTACTACTTGGGGAGGTGGGACACCTGCTGAGCCTTGCTCTGTGGTTGAAAGCAGGCTGTTGGCCTTTGGAGTCAGTGGCGAATCTGGGTGAAACTTGAAGGTAAGAAATGGAGGCTGCGCTGAAGCTAGGCCCTGGTGTTTATGTGCTACCAGCAGGCCTGGAGCTGAGGCCTTAAAAAGCATGTAATAAAACTTGGAAATACCACTATTTTACCAGGAAGAGATTTACTGCTGGGGAACAAACTTCAAAGTAGGTGATCATAGGGGACTCAGGAGGAGGGCTGGCTAAGACTTTCCGGTCAAGACCTCACAGTGCATCTGGAAGGCGGCAGTGGTCTATGCAATGGTGTAGCTGGTGTGTTCTCTGACACGGACCAAGTTCACTGAAGAGTTGTGGTTACTGGCTTAAATTATGGAGAACATAGGTCAGGAAAGGACAGAAGGAATTTGGTATGTCCCCAGGGTCTCAGAATACTTTGGCTTGGGTCCTTGCTGTGGTGTATCTTGAATTCACTAAAGTTAATTTTGATACTGGAGTCTCTCAGGAACACCTCAGGTTTTTATTTTGCAAAAGCCAGGAACACCCTACCATATTCTGGAACTCCCAGAAAAATTTCATCCTCAGCACTACTTTTCTTGAGACACTCAGCTTTCCCAAGTCGGCATTTAGATCTTGAGATTCCAAATGTCTCTGGCTGCCTACATTGCAGTTTACTCAAAATTTCCGAGCCACCTATATGCCACTGCCCTTGTGTCTCACAAGACTGGAAAAAGCTAATAGAAATTTGCTTTTGTCTTTATCCATCACTATTGCCCAATAGCCATTTGGAGGGTGCTGGAGGAGATCGGTGCATTGTCCATTTCTATTTATGTGATGATATGTCCATTTCTATTAATATTTGACATGATTCCTGTCTCTAAAAAAATCTCTGAATTTAGTGTTTGGAGGAACCCCACCACCCAGATTGTTTGGGATTAGGTTTGACATCATAGTAGCCCTAAAGCTATACTGACTGATTTAATAGGTCCAACTTCTATAGAGTGTATGGGAGACCTAGAGAAAGGCTAGGTTTTATTTTTAGAGGATAACTCCACATCAGGGAGTCTTTGGGCTAGGGAAAATGCTGCAAAAGGGAGGAGAGAAGTGGAATTAGGCTATACTGGAACATACAACTTACAATCTTTGCAGACTTTGTGATATGTACAGTCCTGTGTGTCAGCAGCAGTAGATTTTGTGCCTTGTCTTTACCTGTTTTGAGGGAAGCCAACTTTCCCTGTGTTCTAGGCCCGGGACTATTGATAGGTAAAGGTTCCTGAGAGGAAGGCAAGTAACTAAAGTCTGGTTTATAGAAAAAATGGAAAACATCAAGAGAAATGAGGCTATATTTTTGAAGAGATTATGAGGAATTTAGGAGTTCTTCAACCCAGACCAAGCAGCAGATAGGACTGGAGGCAATTAGGCAATTTTGTGGAAAATATATGCCTAGTATGGTTTCCTGGGATGACAGAGAAGCCTTTTAGATGAAAGACAAGAAAAATGGCATTGGTTGGTGGCCCCTAGCTCTCTACTGAAATCCTAAATGGGGGCCAGGTGGTATTAGAGCTGGGGGCTCAAGAGATAAGGCAGGAGAGAGTTAACATTGGATCCAAACTGAAGTCTTTGAAAGTGCTCCAGAGTAAACTCATTACCCTGCACTTTCCACCTCAACTACCAGTCTAACACTGAACCATGAAATATGATGAGAGACATTTTTTATTGATCATTTCATAAGCATGGCTTTTGCAAGCTCCAGAGGGAAGATAAGAGTAGGGCTGTGATTACCAGCGTGTGGGACAATGGTCGGGAAGGTTCGCTCTACTATAAGATTGTTCAGGCTGATGGAACACTCTGATGGAGACAGAATTTTCTAGGCATGGGGAAGAACGGTCCACTGTACGTTTGGGAGAACCAAGAGTCCCAAGGATGTGTGGAGCCAGCAGCAGAGTAGTTATCTTTTCCTCCCCATCTTTGGCTCAGTACCTCTGGGTTTACCATTAAATTGCTGGCTTAGGGATCAAGGTAGTTTTTGAGTAAAGCTACCAATCTCTTAACTAACTGAAGGCTTTTGTCTACTATGCAGCATAGCTAGATCATGTTGATTTAGAGTTTGATGTGGAGTTTCAGACCACAGGGTCATTGGCCAGATATCTCTCAAGTCATTCCCCTGTCTCTTCCTCAACCAAACCTGGCCCCAAGCTGTGACTTTGACTCATATTGGAAGGATGAACATGAGAGGTTGGGACACTTGGAAGCCAAACAGGAAGATGATTCTTTGAACTGGAGTATCTGTTAAAGCTGAATTCCTAGCTCACTCTCCAGTGGCCTGAAATGTTCATTTAATTGAAGACAGTAAGACCGCATGCCAAATTTGAACCCCCAAGGTGGTGATCTCAGTGATGCTAGCTAGGCAGTGACTAAGAGTCACTGCCTGGTTCGTGTCTTGAGGCACTAACTTGTTCTGTGACTCTGAGCAGATATTTCAGTTCTTGATGTCTCAGTTTTTCTATCTGTAAGATGAAAGGGTTTGACTATATGAACTTTCTAACTCTGCCATTTTACTTTTCCAGAATTGTGTGACATCTTATGTGCTACTGTTCTCCTAGCGTAAATTTTGACTTGTTCAGACAAATGAAAATTTGTAAAGCTTCTTGGATGGGAGTGAGGAAGGGTTGGAAAATTAGGAAAGTAAACTAGGAAATTAGCAAAGTCCTGCTGATACCATTTCCTCATGCCATTTGTATTTACTGTTTTATTTTAAAGATAAAAAACTAACAAAACAGCAACAATGAAGACAAAATCAAAAGAACAAAAATGATACATGCCCTCAAAACAAAATGATAGAAATTAACAATGGGTGCTACATTACATACTGTAAACTTCAACAGAATTGCTCAGTTCACCAGACATAAGAATGTAAGATTGATCAAACAGTCAAAGACAGTAACAGGTAATAAAAAAAATTGGAAATGATGTAGAGCTTCACCATACAAGATGGTAGGAGTTCAACAATGGTTCTTATACTGCACATTGTTGTTTTCAGATCAGTTTTGCAAAATTGATCGAGAAAAAAGGAAATTTTAAGCATTGACTGTTCCTTTCAATAAACCACAGACATCAGCAATACACCTATTCCAGCTATCCATGTCATTTGTATTTAAAGACTATGGTGCTATACAGAAATATAAATATATTTAAAAAGACAAACTTAAAAAATTTTACCCAGCATGTAAGGGCAAGTCTGACTATACATCTGCTTCTTCTACAGTGGTCCGCTTAGAAGAGAGCTGGACCTTTTAACAGAACTCCCTCGACTTGGCTTGCTGCAGCCT